GCCCGGCCGCCGAGTGGAGTCCCGAAGTGGCCGGCGAGCCGCGGCGGGAGGAGGCACGGGTCGCGTCGGCCGGCGCTCACGGCCTCGGTTTCGCCGCTTGCGCAGGCTTCTCACGGCAGTCAGCAGCAGCGTTGCTGTAACCGACACAGACACCTTCGAATTAAGTACATCCCTCGAATCCCGCAAAGCCCCGCAGCATGGCCGAGATGAACTTCCTGAGCAGCGAGGTGTTGGTGGGGGACTTGATGTCCCCCTTCGACCAGTCGGGTTTGGGGGCTGAAGAAAGCCTGGGTCTCTTAGACGACTACCTGGAGGTGGCCAAGCACTTCAAACCTCATGGGTTCTCCGGCGACAAGGCTAAGGCGGGCTCCTCCGAATGGTTGGCTGTGGATGGGTTGGTCACTGCCTCAGACATCGGCAAGGGTGAGACACGGGGTCCCCTCTACCTGCTGGGGGGCCTGGGGAGGGAGGGTCCGCGGCGCGCTCTGCCTGGGTCTGACTTAAGGCGCGCTTATTTCTCCACCTTCCAGAGGATGCCTTCTCCGGGACAGATTGGATGGTGGAGAAAATGGACCTGAAGGAGTTCGACTTTGATGCCCTGTTGCATATAGATGACCTGGAAACCATGCCAGATGAGCTTTTGGCCACGCTGGATGACACGTGTGATCTCTTTGACCCCCTAGTCCAGGAGAGTGATAAGGAGCCCCCCCAGATAGTGAACCCCATTGGCCATCTTCCAGAAAGTTTACCCCAAACAGACCAGGTTGCCCCTTTCACCTTTCTGCAACCTTTCCCCCTTTCCCCAGGGGCCCTGTCTTCCACTCCAGACCATTCTTTTAGTTTAGAGCTAGGCAGTGAAGTGGATATCTCTGAAGGAGATCGTAAGCCAGACTCCACTGTGTATGTTGCCATGGTCCCTCCATCCATAAAGGAGGAGGATGCCCCCTCAGATAACGATAGTGGCATCTGCATGAGTCCTGAGTACCCGGGATCTCCCCAGCACAGTCCCCCCACCTCCAGGAGCTCTCCAAATAGGAGTGGCGCATCTCTAGGTGTCCTTTGTGGCCCTGCACGCCCCAAGCCCTATGACCCTCCGGGAGAGAAGATCGTAGCCGCAAAAGTAAAGGGGGAGAAATTGGATAAGAAGCTGAAAAAAATGGAGCAGAACAAGACAGCAGCCACCAGGTACCGCCAGAAGAAGAGGGCAGAGCAGGAGGCCCTCACTGGCGAGTGTAAAGAGCTAGAAAAGAAGAACGAAGCGCTGAAGGAACGCGCTGAGTCCCTGGCCAAGGAGATCCAGTACCTGAAAGATCTGATGGAGGAGGTCCGCAAGGCGAGGGGGAAGAAAAGGGTCCCCTAGTTAGGGTAGTCACGAGTGTGCTTGTACATAGGCTTGCGCTGAAGCTGTGTTGTAATAAATTATTTTGTAGTGAAAGTAGTGCTGACTGGTTTCTGGGCCTGGCCGTGGAGGCAGCCCCTCATTAGATCTGGGGCTCCCTGTGACTGGTAGGTAGAGCTCTCTGGGATCTGGTTGTGAGCTGCGGATGGCCGGGGGGGGGCGGGGCCCAGGTATTGCTTGGCACAAGCAGTAGCTTGCCGCAGGGTGGATTTGGATACTTGGCAGCAGGTGTGGTTAGGAAGGGCTGGTTAAAGTACTGCAAAGAGTTCAAAAGGTGGAAACATTCCTTTTCTGGGGGGCTGGCCTGCCAGCAAACTCCAGACTGAAGTGGGCCTGCCTGACCATTCAAGCCCTGACCTTTCTCCCCCCCCCCCACACACAGCACAACAGGACAGGAAAAAGCAATTATGCCTCTTCCCCTAGTAGAGGGGAGTGGGGTGTGCACAAAAGCAGTGTGCCCCCTCTGGCTGGTGTCCACTACCCTGGAACAGCACCTCGTCACTGCAGGAGCCAATTTTTACCTGTCTGAGAAGGCACCAGTGGGGCAGGGTAGTAAGCACTGGGTGTTCTCAGGGCAATTTGGTCGCCAATGGGGGTAACACAACCAGATAGGATTTGGGGAGCTGGAGAAGGGGGGGGGCCCAAGTTGGATCAGCACACAGCTGAGTGAGTCCCAAGTTTATTTGAGCTGTGAAGCCCACCCAACCCTCCGCTTCCTCAGGCCTAGTCACTGGCCTTTCCACAGCCCACGGCCAGGGGCCTGTGGGCAAAAGCTAAGTTACAGATGTCAAACCTCCCCAGGGCCTCGGGCTCTGCTCCATGCCAGCCTCCTTCCTGCTCCAGGCGCCCTCTCCCAGGCTGTGCTGGCAGCCTGGAGGCTGTGAGGTCCGCAGGCAGCCCTGCCTCTCTGGGTGTCTTTCTGGGGCCTAGCTGCCGAAGTATTCCTGCTGGAACTTCTGGAAGTCTTCCTCCGTGAACACGGTGCCCTCTGCCTTCTTCTTCTTGGTCTTGATCACCGGCCGGTCACAGGCCTTGCGGCCCCTGTTCTGCAGCACAATCTGGGGGAGGGAGGGTGGGAGTCAGGGTATGTTGGTGACTCCCATGCAGGAGGGATAGCCGCTTAGAGCCACACACATCTGGCACAGCTGACGGAGCTACCCTATCACAGGCCCAGGCGATAGGCCCGTCACTCCAGTGAGAGGTGCGAACACTGACCCCACAGGGCCCCAGGGAGAAGGCCAGGCAGTGCCTGCCCCCTTGCCCTGCTCTGCTCTCGGGCTGTGGGGAAGCGCCTCGAAGCAGCAGCCTAGGAGGGGTGGCCCACCTCCCACCTATCCCACCTATTTGCAGGGCTCTGTGACCTCAAGTTGAGGCCTCACACCCTCCAGGTTCCCCCCACGCCCACCCTGCTGACAGACCTGCTGGGTCACGGAGTCGGCCACGGTGCTCCTTGATTTGGTCATAAACCTCAGATTGACTTTGAGATTGTTCTGACACGCTCGCTCTCGCTTCTGGAACTTGGCTGTGGGCAGGGGGCATCATTTCAGATTTATTCATTTACTCAGCAAATGTGTCTGAAGCATGTACTGAGTCAGCTCTGAGATGCAGCAGGAAGCTGGCAAGACTAGTGGAGCTTACGGGGGTGGACACTAGTGGTATCTAAAAGGGGGATGTATTTTATGAAGAAAGAAAGAAACAGAAATGAGGAACCCCGGGGTGGAGGGCTGCAAGCCCATACTGGAGGGTCTCAGGCAGCTTCACTGAAGTGATCTCGGGGCGCAGACTCGAGGGAGAAAGAGCTGGAGTAGAGCAGCAGGCACTGCAGAGGCCCTAAACAAGTGCGGCCGGTGTGGCCCAAGAGCAGAAACGGCTAACGGAAGGGGAGAGCAGATGAAGCCGTAGTGGACCAGGACCCTGCTGCTTTCCCCAAATCCCAGGGGCAGCTGCTGGGGGCGCGGGGCAGGGGGTAAGTCTCATAGTTGGCAGGACCATGTGGCTGTGGTGAGCTGCCAGTCGTAGTTTTGTAATGATTGCGGTCAGAGATGATGTGCAGCCCCAGTCTGGGGGGACAAGGGCGGTTGCAGCAGGGTGACCTGGCAGCTTCACTGCTGTTTCACACATCTCTGGCTGGGCCGCTCTGCTGCCTCCACACTGGCTCGCGTCCTGCGTCCTCAGAGTTCTGAATTCCTTGAACTATTCAAACACCTTTTAGGTATCAGGCCCTCCAGTTCAAAGACACACTAGGGGCTCACCTAGTCCTGCCTCCAGTCAGTCCCCCCATGCTGCCCACACATACCCTAGGGGGGTCTCAGGAACTGGGCTCTGTTCTGGGTCTCTCTCTTCCTCCATCTCCACAACACTTCCCAAAGAATTCCAACACCGCACGCTCCCCCGCTCCCCGTTCTCTGGCTAAGCCCGCTGCTGCCAAGCCGCATGGCGCCTCCCACTGGAACAGAGCCGGTGAACACGCCGGCCAGTTCCTACCCGTGTGTTTGGGCAGATGCGGGTTTCTGCATCTGTGAGTTGGAGGTAACAGACCGACCTCATGGGGCTGCTGCCAGGGCAGCACGGGGCGCGCAGACTCTGGGCAGTCTGATGCGCACCTCTGCCCTCTGCTCACCCCTCCGACCTTCCAGGCTCCTTTCGACCCGCAGACGCCCTTCTCTCTCAACACTCTTCCCCCTCCCTAGGGCTGGGCGTGAAGCTTATTCTAGCCCGTTCCAAGCAGGGCGGCCGAACTTCGCTGGCCTCATCAGTTACCTGCTGACTTTGCCCCTCTGGGGCTGTGGGCCTCGTGGGTCAGAAAGACGCGCTTCGCCCGCCCCCCTATTCCACGTTCTACCGCAGAACTCCAGAAACGCCTGGCGGACGCCTCAAGTGCCCCGCTTCCAGGGCGCCCCCAACGCGCGGGCGGCGTGTTAACCCCTCCGGAACTCACCAAACGCGGACTTGGGCACCTTTCCCTTGGCCGAGTTCCGCAGTTTCCGGGCCTGGGTCGCCTTCGCCCTCCGGGACCGCTTCCCTGGAGCCCCGCTCGTCGCGGCCTGGCCCGTCGAGGCCTGGGGGCCTGGGGGGACGCGCGACAGATAGGACCCCGGCCCGAGCGCAGCGGGAGCCCGCGACACCGGCCCCCC